TTACACACACCACGTGCATCTAAACATGGTAGTCAGAGATATATCTGCCCCAAGAGTTTACACACAGCACGTCCATCAATACAGGGTAGTCAGAGATGTATCTGCCCCAAGAGTTTACACACAACACGTGCATCTATACAGGGTAGTCAGAGATATATCTGCCCCAAGAGATTACACACACCACGTGCATCTAAACATGGTAGTCAGAGATGTATCTGCCCCAAGAGTTTACACACACCACGTGCATCTATACAGGGTAGTCAGAGATGTATCAGCCCCAAGAGTTTACACACAACACGTGCATCTATACAGGGTAGTCAGAGATGCATCTGCCCCAACAGTTTACACACAACACGTGCATCTATACAGGGAAGTCAGAGATGTATTTGCCCAAAGAGTTTACACACCATACGTCCATCTATACAGGGTAGTCAGAGATGTATCTGCTCCAAGAGTTTACACCCAATACGTCCATCTATACAGGGTAGTAAGAGATGTATCTGCCCCAAGAGTTTACACCCAATACGTCCATCTATACAGGGTAGTCAGAGATGTATCTGCCCCAAGAGTTTACACCCAATACGTCCATCTATACAGGGTAGTCAGAGATGTATCTGCCCCAAGAGTTTACACACAACACGTGTATCTATATAAACAATAATGATGTTAGAAAAATAAAGAAAAAAAGTAATTTCACACCTTTCTTTTCAAAAGATGGTACTTGGAATGAATGATTTTGAAAGTAACTCTCATGTTAAGTAAAGGCATATTATAACTTAACAAGATAAAGGTGATTTGGACAGACCAATTTCTTTGAAATTATATCTTTATCAGAATGTTACATTTGATTATGCCAACTCATGAACCAAAGGAGCTGCATGTAGTCAAAATAAAACTTTATTAACTATATGGCACGTTAAAGCTGCATTACTGTTTGGTTTCAGACTAAAATCATCATCTGAGTTTTTCTTCATGAAAAGAAACTATTTACCTCATTAAGTAGTAAAATTGACATGTTCGAGTTTTTTTATTGAAACTAATAGTCATTTTTATTATGACCACACACCCTATATGCACGTGCTCATCAAAATTTAATCTTTGCAGCCAAAATGTAGAGTACGACCAAATAGTTCTAACCCTCCTTTTCACCCCTTAAATTTCGACAAAATGATCTCAGATTTTGCGGTAATACTAAGTAAAAATGTGTCTATAAAAATATTTGAAAACCTTTAAAGGGTAAGATTTGACCGATTAAATACAGGAAAGCAGCTTGAACTATACATATAAGCTTAACCTTTAATTGACATGAGGGTCTTCCAACATCTATTTTCAATTTAGATTCTATCTATATTTGAAAAGACATGTAGGACCTTATTTACAGAATTTGTTTCAAATGGCCTTTTAATAGGAACAAGCAGGTTTTGCAATTGTTTTGGTTTGTTAGCAGAACTCTCTTAGTTAATATACACATGCACAAAAGTTAAGCGCCATCCACCATATTTGTGAGCTGTTACTTTTAGCACTTTATGATGACTATTATAACGAGATGTACGATTGTTATAAGCCGTATATGTAAACCTCATGTGATGCAAAAGTTGGCCCAAAGCAAGTTTATCTTGTGTTCCAAAAGAATATGAGCAGAAAGGAATTTTACCGAAGACCAGAAATTGAAGGATTAGAAAACATTGACAAACTTTTTTTGTCATGTAACTGTCATGATATCAGCTGACCATATCAGGTGTCACATAGACACCCTAGGGAGTGCAGAGTCTATTGCTAGACAGAAACGTCAGTAACCTGTGTATGATCTACGGACATTGACCACAGCTTCAACCCTACGCCTCATACTCATTACAAGTCGTTGAATGCTTCTCAGAGGCAAACGGATCCATTCTTCATGAAGTTGGGCTTCAAGTCAAGCGAGATTTTGAACTGGGGGATCACGATGTCTGATTTTCCGGCCAAGAATGTCCCAGAGATGCTCAATCGGATTAAGATCCGGACTACAGGCCGGCCAAGGAAGTGTGGCAATAGCTTCTTGACGCAAATAAGCCAAAACTGCCCGAGATCTGTGTGGTCTAGCATTGTCGTCCATGTAAACAGGTCTTGTCTGAAGAGGATGGTTGTCAAAATGAGAGACTACCACTGGACGAAGAACGGCCTCTTGGTGTTGTTGGCCATTCAGGTTTCCACGAATTGTCACCAACGGAAGTTTGCAGCCGTAGGAAACACAACCCCATATCAGGACAGACCCCCCGCCACATGCTAAGGTCTTCTGGATGTTCCGTGGTGCAAAACGAGTGTTACGTTGCCTCCAAACACGTATTCGACCATCAACAGTTCGTAGCAGCATTCGACACTCGTCAGACCAATGGATCCTTCTCCAGTTGGCCAAATTCCATCGACTACGGGCACGACACCATATCAGACGATTCCGCATGTGCCTCTCAGTCAGTTGAGGACGTTTTGCTGGTCTTCTGGCGTTATAACCAGCCGCTCTAAACGGCGACGCCTTACGGTCATCGTCGAGAGTCTCTGATGGGTAATCCACTGCAGTCTTAAATCTGTTGAAGTGGCAAATGGATTTCGTCTGACTATCCTGAAGAGACGTCTATCCTCTCTGTTAGAGGTCTTTCTTGGCCTACCAGACCTATGCCAGTCATTGACATCATTGGTTTGACCATGTTTGACAATCAAACGAGTGATTACACTGTGATGACGACCCATTTGTCTTGCAATGGCCCTGCATGACATGCCAGCATTTTTCATGCCTATCACTTGCCATCTTCCAGCGTTCGTTAACTTTCTCCTCACCATGGCTGATTTTCAACCTCTATTGGAAGGGAAATCTCACACAGGAGCAAAATGTAACCACGTGTCTGAAACTTGAATTTCACTATTTATAGGGTAGGGGAACTGCAGCCACACATAAACCACGCTTTCCTTGTGGTATCTGGACAAATTTGGGTTCATGAAACTATGGAAGCCTTATTCAGTCATACATCATCATATTTCGTATTCCCACACGTGAAATCAAGAGACTTTGAATATGGTGGCGCTTAACGTTTGTGCATGTGTATAATTTGGCTTTTTTCATATGATATCATATCAACAACATCACATTTGTATGTTTTATTTCAACTTTATGTTTAAAATACAAACAAACATACAAAATAAAAATACAGGGCAGCATCAACAGTCTCTGATCCTCCAGGCAGTGGTGACAGTGGTTGCCAAACAGGAACAAAGGTCAATCCATTCCTCAAAACCTCCACTCTAGATGGTGGCATCCATCCCGTTGGGCACTGTTGCTGCTGTGAAACCGCAATATTTGGCTGCTGCAGCTGTGCTTGCGTCTGAGATAGCAGATGTGGATGAGGTTGGGACTGTTGTGGCTGTACTTGCGCCAGCTGCCTCTTCCTGGACATTGCAACTCTGAGAGCTTTCTGGATGTGTGGGAGAGGCATCAACTTTATCAGTATCCTGCAAGTCTTCATAGATCGAACCCTCAGCAACCCCAGAAACACAAGGAACCTCAGTAACGTCAGAAGCCGGGGTTTGACCTCTCCTGTTTCTTGTTGTCCTCATAGCTAGACTTTAGTTAAGCTAACCCTAACTACGACCAAAATGACGAAAGGAATGAAATATATATGTGCTTTGTCAGGAATTCAAAAGTGAAAGAATGATGAAAGCCACGTGTCTCTTTATATACCCTGTACTGTTTGCGCGAAATTGGCGTTGTTTACCCTAGTTTAACGTAATGTAACGCTTTAATTAAATGTTGTTCAACGTACCTGAATGTACTAGCTACTGTACTTTACTGTAGTCTAACGTAGCTTAACGTAGGAAAACGTAGATGATGTGTAGCACCCTTTTCGTACTTCAATGTTGTTCACTCTAGATCAACGTACTTGTCTTTAATTTGACGGACATTTCCCTGGTAACACTTTCATATAGAAACGTTGTTCGACGTAGTCAAGCTTTTCTTTTATATATTTCGACACGTTAGTGTTATTTCGGCTACGTTGATATCCCTAAGGATAACTACAGCTACTAACGCAAGTGTGAATGCCGCTTAAGTTATCATAGATAAGTAATAGGTAATGGACACTGGGCAAACGGGAGGCTGGGGTAATTAGCACTGATAGGTGAAAGTATGGACATAGCAAAGGGAAAATTGAAGTCAGCTAGGTAATTAATGAATGAAACAAATTCTGTAAATAAGGTCCTACATGTCTTTTCAAATATAGATAGAATCTAAATTGAAAATAGATGTTGGAAGACCCTCATGTCAATTAAAGGTTAAGCTTATATGTATAGTTCAAGCTGCTTTCCTGTATTTAATCGGTCAAATCTTACCCTTTAAAGGTTTTCAAATATTTTTATAGACACATTTTTACTTAGTATTCACGCAAAATCTGAGATCATTTTGTCGAAATTTAAGGGGTGAAAAGGAGCGTCAGAACTATTTGGTCGTACTCTACCTTTTGGCTGCAAAGATTAAATTTTGATTAGCACCTGCAAAAAGGGTGTGTGGTCATAATAAAAATGAATATTAGTTTCAATCAAAAACTCGAACATGACAATTTTACTACTTAATGAGGTAAATAGTTTCTTTTCATGAAGAAAACTCAGATGATGATTTTAGTCTGAAACCAAACAGTAATGCAGCTTTAACGTGCCATATAGTTAATAAAGTTTTATTTTGACTACATGCAGCTCCTTTGGTTCATGAGTTGGCATAATCAAATGTAACATTCTGATAAAGATATAATTTCAAAGAAATTGGTCTGTCCAAATCACCTTTATCTTGTTAAGTTATAATATGCCTTTACTTAACATGAGAGTTACTTTCAAAATCATTCATTCCAAGTACCATCTTTTGAAAAGAAAGGTGTGAAATTACTTTGTAAATTATATATTTTTCTAACATCATTATTGTTTGTTCTTGTTTAGTCTTGATTATAACAAAACAACAAGGACACAAACAAATACAAATGCACAGGTCTGATATTTTAATGAAAGCTGGTACAAATGCATTAACTTAAAAGAGTAAAACATGGTTTTCACCTTGCCCTTAAAATCGACGTTCAACAATGATTCAGTATTCGTGAAGATGTGTAACCTGCCATGGAACCGACCCTGCGGGTGAGCAAAGGTAATGTTTCAGGTAAATCCGCTGCTTCTTGGCTATACTGTGTCACGCTAACCCCAATAAGTGTGATTCATGTCCTTCAAGTTGGCTGTGTCCCGCCAGGCACCAGGTACCAAGTTGTGGTTCACATCTTCCTTGTCCAGGATCATGACATCATTGGAGGGGTTCCTTTCTCTCAGGTAGTTGTGCAGCACCACACCCTTTCTCACTATCAAAGATGCAGTATCAACCTGAACCTGGAGAGTGCTAAGCAGGCACCTGAATCTGTTTGCGAGTATCCCAAAGGCATTCTCAACAACACGGCGAGCTCTTGAAAGGCGATAATTGAATACTAGCTCATCGTGTGCCAGTCCCTGTCGAGAGAATGGTTTCATTAGCCAACTCTGCATGGCAAAGGCATCATCTGCAATGATGTAATAAGGCCATGTCCAAGGGCAGAAAGTTCACGAAAGCTTCAGGATCCTCAAGTTGTAAGTCTTCCATCAGGGCGTCATACTGACCATGGATTGATCTGCGCAGAAGCCAGTCACGAACCCACCATCTTCTCTGTTTTCTCTGCTTCTCTTCGTCCTCTTCAAATTGCATGAGACACTGTGCATAAAATAGCAGCTCTTTGTTGACAACAGCCCAGAAGCTAATCATATTTACTCTTCTATCACTCATGTTGTGTCTGCAGAGTTCAGACAACAAATGATCAGACTGATGTCATCATGGGTTATAAATATCACGTGTATCAACCCATACTTGCTACCAAGTTATCTGTAGTTTATCTTAGTTTAACTTATTTAAACCTATTTTAACTTACTTTAACTTACATGTGCTAAGAGCACACCTAGCAAGACGTGATATAGCATTTTCAAAACGTAGATTACTGTACAAATACTTAGTTCACTGTACTGAAACGTTCTCTAATGTCAATAAGGTAATTGTAGTGTAGTGTAGTATAACCGGGTCATGTGAAGTTAAACGAAGTTAGGAGGACTTGTGCCCCTACTAAAATGTAGTTTACAGTAGTTTTTCGTAGATATTTTATGCCTCGATAACTACGGTGTTCGTTACGTTTGGCTACAGTAGACTATGTTTATAACTATAACTATGTTTTTAAACTACATCTAACTACATTAAACTAAGTTACTACTACGTTAACAAAAATGTCAGCTTACTTGGCTATCTTTTGTGCATGCATATGTACAGGTACAGGTTGTGCATGCACAACAGATAAATCCCCAAGTACGTTTTTTTTCACGTAAATGGCTACGTTATGAACACAGATAGCCACGGACAGCTAGGGTTGAACCACGTATGGATACGTTACACTACGTAAGATTTGTCTACGCTTAAGTACGTTATTTAACGCAAGTGTGACTTAGGCTTTAAGTATTGGTTTCCATACCTTCAGCGCTAATTACTGTAAAGTGTTGGCTTCCATTGTCTATTGCTAATCACCTATCAGCGCCAATCATCTGTTGGCTTCTCTTGTTAGTTCTACCCTTTGTTATTATCCAACTTTTGTTATCTTATTATTTTGTTGTCTTTACCTGTACATATATATGCTCTCTGCCTCATGGCATTCATTCACCTGATGAAGGAGTAACGATATACTCCGAAACGTTGTGTTCCTCATAATAAAGAAGTTGACATCCATATATTCCCTTCCTTATAATATTCATACTGCTTGCGATGAAAATAGTCCGAGACATTGTGAAGATTTATATTAAAAAACATTCGGTCTTAACTACATGGGATATTTACATTAAATCTGAATACGACAGTCGAAAATTGGCCTTCGTCTGTCCATTAGGATTAATTCCGCTTTGAAATACAGGAGCAACGGCGCCGATGCGATTATGCAACCTAATACCTTTAATGTCTTTGTCTTTTTGCAAGTATCCATAATTCTACTAGAATGGACACACACAGAACTATTTTGGTGCTAATATTGTATAATGCGACAGGGAAAATAGCGTAATATTCCTATTCCACATTGAGTATTCAAAGTACAAAGAATACAACACACTTTAGAAATGGAGATATTGTGTTCAAAGTTGTAAACAAACCTCGGACTATTTCTATAATGTCTATAATTGCAGCCGAATTTATCCACTTAATCGAAAGTAATAGTGGTTAATCGGATGTAAATATCAGCAATGATATTTCGCTATGCGTGTAATATCTACGCATTGTTTCTTCTGAATGATTTTATGATGAAATACACGTTTCCCTTACCATTTAACATGTAGATCTAAGTATAAGGACTGATGCCGACACTTACCATCTTATTTAGCTTATTATGACGTTTGTAACAATGATATAGTGAACCGCGCCATGCAATGACGAAGGCAAGGGAATAAAGATTATTTCTGGTACATAATTTAAGGAGAAATAGATTAAACAATCGTACATTTATACATGAAGGCTCTGTTGAATGATTCTGTATGATTAAACCATTAGCATGTACAGATACTTATTTGTCATAAAGCGACCGACGTGACGGTTGGGTCTTTTGTTAGAATCTTGTGTGATATAGTCATCCCAAGGAATTATGTGATAACACATTTAACGGTGTGGAGAAAATATTGTATAAAATGAAGTGTTATGATTATTTCTTGTATGACGTGTCCCTCCTGTAATATACAATACGTGTTTGTGGCATACTGTTTTGGTGTAACATCACCTTACCTGTTGCGATGTATTGTTTAGCGTGTTGTAACATAGCGTTAGTTAATAGTATGGTAGCGTATAGAATACTATAGTACCTGGTATTATTGTAACATTGTTTAACATTATATATTACACTGTAAGACTTGCATTATATTGCAAGACAGGACAGAACATAGTGGCGTTTTGTACCATAATGAACTACGTTGTAACATGCCGTGCCATCTTGTAACATTCTGAACCCCTATGTAGCGTACAGTACCATAGTAAAACATACTGTTAAACAAAATACCGTAATGCATTTGAGCATGGGAAAGTAAATGCACACATTCAAAAAACAGTGTAAAATAATTTAACATTTTTTACCACATGAAACGTACTGTAAAATACAATACATTGTACCACAACGTAACATTCTGTACCCTCATGGTACATACCGTGCCCTCGTGTAATATTATATACCCCAATGCAACATGCTGTAATAATGGGAAGCACTCACAATTAGAAAACGTTTAGCCCCGACGTCGCTGTGTGACGTCGCTGTGTAGACCCGACAGTCCCCTCACAGTTCCCCGGGGTATCACACAACACCACGCACGTCACACGCACGCTGGCACAGTTCATAAGGGTATGCTGCAAGCGTTTCATATTTGGCTTCAATTGTGTCAACCTCAGCGCCTCTCACACACAGTGCAGACGATCGGCTATGGCTGCACGGGTTTAACAAGCTCGGTGCATCCAAGGGGGACTCTTTCCACATCTGATTCAGTTATATCCCCTTTTTCCTTTCCTTTTTGAATAAAAAAGATGGGGACCGGAAAACATGCATTGTTGCTGTTTACATTACAGTCTTGCTTGACAACGGTACAAGGATCTATACCGAAATGTCGCCTCTACAGTAATCAAAGAAGTTGTTATCCATAACTTGTGTCTACTTTGTTTACATTAAGACCCAAGAAAGACAACTGTAAAACCAATACATATAATCATAATATGTGTGACAGAAACATACATATATGAAATCTCCTCGGTGATATCAGTCTTCTTCTAACGTATCATGTTAAACACAGACAGAAAAAAGGTCAAAGGACGCTTTGTTTCAAATCCGGAAGTCATTCTCTGCTCCCTCGGGAGAATACACCCACTGGTGTACAAAGCCACATACAAGGTGAAAAACTTCATTTGGTGCCAGATACATTCCCTCGGGTGAAACACAAACGCAAAGGAACAAAGGCTCTTGTTGACAACTAACAGTTTCAACCAGTGCAAATATACTCACTGGCCTAAAGAGCATAGGTTTAGTTTTAACATTTGAAATACACTGACACTGATGCTAAGAAAGGAATATTCAAGTTCTCAGATCCATAGTATGGAAAGTATTCACACTGTATACAATATCTTGGCGGTATCAATATTTCTGGTGTCTAAAAAGAGTATTTTCCAGGGGACGTGCAACTAATTTTCGATTGAAATTTTAACACTGATTTAATCGCAGTTAAAGAACTGCTTGTGTAATCACACTCCGTGTGACGACGAATCATTCGAACTGAATACAATAATGGTTAATTGATAGTGCCATCGAGATATTTACAATGATATTTCTCTGACGTGGACAAAGTTGAGTGAGAAGAAGAGGTGTATACTCAATTACCCCTGCTTACAAAATTAATACTTTTACTTGCAATATTGACAGCAGGTGCTCTAGAAATGCAAATATAGAGTAATACGAATAATACTGTACTCAAAATCATAGGGCCGCCTGCATAGGCTAGAGGACAGAACGTCCGCCCTGAGAACGGAATGTCGGTGTTTTGATCCCATACAGAATATGTTAAGAGATGGCACATGTTGTTACACTGCCTGGGCGGCACGGAATCAGTATACTTTGTCTGAGTGAGGTATCCATGTTAAACTGGGGCATGAAATGTTATCACAACGATATACGTGCACACATAAACGCACGTATAAATACACGTGCAGGAACGTCGCTGTATATGTAATATTTTAGGAGCGCAAAAAAATGCCTTTCAAATGTTATCTTAAATTGGGATGATGATGATGATTTTTGAAGATTAAGATTGCAAATAATTCAGATTTTCTCTCTGTGTGTTGTTCGTCAGGTTGTGTGTTATTTACGCACGTTGTAGTGAAATTCTGTTTATTTTCACCCCCAATATCAATACACGGCGTTTGGAAGGGTAAGGAAATGTTAGGTATGATTTTCCATCTGTCCATAGGTCTCCAGCAACCCATGCTTGCCGTAAAAGTCGACTAACGGGATCGGGTGGTCAGGCTCGCTGACTTGGTTGATGCATGTCATCGATCCCAATTGCATGGATCGATGCTCATGATATTAAACACTGTATTGTCTGGCCCAGACTCGATTATTTACAAACCGCCGTCATATAGCTGGAATATTGCTGAGTGCGGCGTTAAACAATAAACCAACCAACCAACCATCTGTCCTCAGTACTCTTAAACGGCATCTAGATTCCTTGGTGTGTCCTAACACGTGTTTGTGTTGTGTGGGGAGAAGAGAGATCAGTCCTCAAAGTCATATGGTCCCCATCATTGTATCATTAATAGCAATTATTAACAATCACTAACTGTAAGTGATCACAGCTACATTTAACGATATTGATACAAGGACATCTTGATGCAGTTATCGATCTGTGTTACTCATCGTTGGTTTGACACATACATGGAATCTGTGTTTATGACGAGACCTTAACGTCGCCTTTGAGAATTTAGTGAAATAGAAACGTCAAACGTTGCAGAATCTCATTATTGTTGTACATTACGCCATGTAATTTGATAATTGCAAACATCAGTTGACGATTATGAAAAAAGATTTAAAAAATAGTCAAATCTACGTTGGATAACCTCAGTACAGAATGAAGTTTTCCTTAACATAGGACCCTGGAAGTATATAGCCACATAAACCTCACCTCAAAGACAGATATCTGCAGACCAATAAGCCTTAATCTTTGGAATCTAGGAAGAATGTCAATGTACTGGACCTTGTAAGCGTCGTTGCGTCTTCAGCATCGGACTGCAATGATTGTCTGAGACTATCGTACCAGCGATGCCATTATGAACCGTCTAATCTTCGTCAGAAATCGCCGCCAAAAATTTAACCATTTTCACACCGGATTCCGAGTAACTTCTACAGTCAGCCCAGGCCCATGTCCCCCGCTTGGAGTTGTGTACAAATTTATCTGCTAGTGATTTGTTAATCTCGTTAGCCTGACTGTGGAAGATTGAAGAAACGCATAGGGCCAAGAAAATGGCTACTTCTGAAATCGCGTAGGGACACCAGAAGGATAGTTATTAGATTGCACCAAACGGTACCGATTCTATCTGAGAATCTGACTTACTGCCGCCTGTTTTCGGTTCACTAAGGGCAAGTTCGTGCAAGAAAACATTTGTTGCCCTCCAAATTTTTCTCGCTCTTTTTGCCGCTGTGTTATAGTCAGACGTCCCCGTTACGTCGATGATACAACTAAGGAAGATGGTTCTTGTCAGACTATTCGACTGGTATTGTATAGAAACCCCTCACAAATGATTCCGTACATTCAATTTAAGGAATAATATTTATGGTGAATTGGTTTTGAGACAACTTACTAATTTGACTTCAAAATATATAGGAAAAGGAAATGCTTAGAACTCTTGCATTGAATGGATTTTATTTAACCAGCATTTGGATACAAGAACACGACATTATTTCCATGATAATTCATCAGTGCTAAACTTTACTGTTTTCATAGTGTCCTTCTGTCGTCAGACACAAACCCTTATTTGTTAAAAGCCATTTGCCGGAATAAAAGCGACAAATCGTCTGTTGGACGATTCGTGTGTCATCTGTCGTGTGTGTACAAAGTCGAAAAATCTATTAAAAATTACAAGAAGCATACTTCTTAATCATATAATTAAACTACTTGCAGAAAAGATTTTATAATATATCAAAAGTTTTATAATGCTTGGCCTATTGCCATATAGCCTAATCTAATGTCGATTGTCCTTTTCAAGCTGTTTTATTTCATAAATTACAGTACATGCATCATCTATTGAATATAAAACGCAACATATCAATCTTGGGAAACAAAATCATTTTTTAAATGACTTTTTCTGAAAACATTGCAAAAACATTAATCATCTAACTGAGAGTTGAAGAATGAGCTTACGTCGCAGTACTCCGTGTACTAAGCCTTCCTTTACGTGTCCTGGAGAGTTGATGAATGAGCCTACGTCGCAGTACTCCGTGTACTAAGTCTTCTGTTACGTGTCCTGGAGAGTTGATGAATGAGCCTACGTCGCAGTACTCCGTGTACTAAGCCTTCCTTTACGTGTCCTGGAGAGTTGATGAATGAGCCTACGTCGCAGTACTCCGTGTACTAAGTCTTCTGTTACGTGTCCTGGAGAGTTGATGAATGAGCCTACGTCGCAGTACTCCGTGTACTAAGCCTTCTGTTACGTGTCCTGGAAAGCATTAATACCTCACGACAGAGATGTGACTTCATTTTACAAGAATATCACAATAATAAAACATTTTTTTAACAATTTAAGCGATGGGAAAATTGTATATAAAGTTGCAACATTTTAATAAAGTAGTTATTGATTACACTGGTATGGCAATCGAAGTGGTTCAGTCTCTGAAATGAACATATCTTACAGAAAAAACGTTGTCATATTATCTTAATAAAAATATAATAAAAAGGAGCCCTGATACTCTCTTCATTTTTAGATACTGCAGTAATCTAGACTTGCCAACTAATATAGACTTGCGTGGTCCTTATGGGATATATATGTATATGTTTCAAGGTCTTTATGACAGGAATTGATCTTCAGCAACACACTCAGGATCGCCATCACATAGCTTGAATATTAAACAACAAACAAACACGGAAGCAATATCTAGTTATTTCAGATGTAAACCTGCTACATGTACTAATCGTACTATTGTTTCAGTCCTATGGGTATTTTTTTTTTGACGTAGCACTCATTTTTTCGAGTATGCATTCCAGGTACACTGTTTAAAGGATTCGCTTTCAAATTGTTAATATGTATCACAATGTCCATTCAAAAGCTCTGACATATCACCTTATTGATGATCCATATTTTAGGCAAAATATATGTCTTGTGACAGAAATGTTTAAAAAATATATGAGACGCGGAAACCACTTTCAGTTCAAATACGGGGCTGATGTCTGATAGGCGCAGCGGCACCACGGTAATCGCATAGGCGCCACGAGACCCCAAGAAACAATTCGGAACTGACAGATCGTGCATGATCCTCTGAACATCCTTTTCTTTAATTGTTTTTTCACAGTCACATGATAAGGTGACGAAGGGACATTTTCAGTCAGCGAAAGATTTCAGTTCAAAGGATAAAAACTAGAACAAGCTATAGCACTTTGTATTTTTGTCCCTCGACGATTTTTCGTCCATGTGTGTATTGTAACTCGAATGTTATCTCATTTCAAGTCTTTGAAAGGCATTTAGAAGTGATACTGAAAATGAAGAGAATGTATGGATGTCAACTTCTCTATTATGAGGAACACAACGTTTCGAAGGATATGCTTACTCCTTCATCAGTTGAATGAAGGAGTAAGCATATTCTCCGAAACGTTGTGTTCCTCATAAAAAAAAAAAGTTGACATCCATTAATTCTCTTCCTTTTGTAATCTCATGTGTTTGTGTCTGTTATCATCACAAATAACACGAGTATTTAATTGATATGTTAACACATAATTTAACAGTTAACAAGACTTTATGATTCTCAAGTGCTTTCTAAATAGATTTTCAGAGGCATTAATACTCATAGCTTTCAAATGATACGTACAATAGATAACAACACACACACATCTACAATTATTTTGTGTCACTGCCAGAAATGATAAGACAAAGATAACACCGGGTGTTCGTCCAGTGTTTTAGCTTTTCACTATCTGTAGCATCTCTGACATGCGCAGAAGGCCATTTTGTCCCAATGCCAAGTTTGCATGTGAGCAAGTCTATATAGCACATGGAACCAGTGGGATTGGGTCTCCTTTGGTATTTGAAAAGAAAACATTTAGGTGCGAGATTATGTGCTTTTGGGTTGGATTTAAGAACGTAAATGTCAGGCTCTCTGATAGGTCTCTGCCAGGAACTAGGGGAGCGATGTTCCACGGTCAAGTGATCATTTCCAGGCCAAGCTTAGACGGCGTAATGAAAGTCTTGTGTGAAACGGAGACTGTCAGTGAGTGAGTTAGATTAACGTTGACAGTACTGTCGTTATGTCATGACGTATAAGACTTATATGGGCATCGCCAGAGAATAAACAGTCTGGATTATCCGCCGAATTAGATTCCATTGGGCTGAAAGGGCCAATGGATCATTGAAAATCAATGATGACACAAGGTGTTCGAGAAAAACCACGAAATCTCAACTCGTAGATCGTTGATGTCTGCGTAGACTAAAATCTAGTCTCTGAAATGAACATATCGTACATAAAAAAACAGTTGTTTAGTTATCTTAATAAAAATATCATAAAAAGGAGCCCAGTGACTCTCTTCATTTTCAGATACTGCAGTGATCTAGACTTGCCAAACATTATAGACTTGCATGGGCTGTATTTGATATATATTTGTATCAGGGTCTGTAAGACGGACTAATTTCTGCGATGGGTATGGTGCCGCCAGATCAATAATCATAATCGCTCTGAATCTAAGACTCGAACTCAGAACCAATAAACCCAGGAGATTAGCCTGGCAAGTGGCATACCAATCATGTTGTCCGTTATTGCAAGATCAAACTGGATCAGTATCCAGTCTGACATGGTAAAGAAGATGAAAGGCCAGCCGAGGCCACTGCTACGACTGACATCCCCTGAATATATCCATCCGTTTCACGAACACCCGGTGTCATTCCTGACCTTCCTTGGGAGTTAGTGTTATGCGCCTGAAATGCGACTATGTTTTACTCAAGGATTTGGGGTTTATCACTTTTACGAGATTTGCCATTATTCTTCTTTATTGGAACCAAGGTATCTGTGACTCTGGGCCGGTGGGTTGGCTTGTGGCTATGCGGAAGGCCCGGGTTCGACTGCCCCTCATAGCTCTGTGTACACTGTGTGAAGCCCATTGTTGGTGTCTCCCGTCGTGATATTGCTGGATAAATGTTACAAGTGTTGTAAAACCATACTCATTCACTCTCTTATTTATGTGATTCCTTCTGTTATGTTTATAGGGGAAGGGGCACCACCATTCAGTTTGCTGGAAACCTATGATCGTTGGATCTAATCCTAGATTGTACTGATAGTGTCAAGGTATGTCAGCAGCATACCAAAGTGTTTTACCACTCAGAACGGCATCAAATCGCACTTTCTTCTCACATCATTCCGTGAAATAACTGAAATATTGCTCAAAGAGGCTATTTTACCCAAATCAATCACTGGCGCACTGATATGTTTACAGGAAGGACTTGAATGCTAACACATCCAAACAAAGCATCGTGTTTGGCAGATAATCGAGACTGATTATTCTCTGGCGTTGACGTTTAATATATTTGCTACATGTGTAACTATCATAGTGACCAGCTATGGCTTCCCTTCGTCTCTTGCTTATAGTTTAGCCAGTGAGTTAAAAGTTAAAGTCACGTGGGCCAAACACTTGGAAGATACAGGTGGACGTCAACGTGCATTCTATCTGTTAACACTCTAATGAGGGTATTTCTAGAAATCGGATTTTACAAACGCCTTTCTAGAAAATGTTGAGTGTGGTGTACAGTGACAGAAGTATTTCTACAGCAAGATGTAACCAGCCAAGACCAAGCATTTTCCCCCCAAATGTTTCTACTGTTGACAGCTACAATCCATCAGTGTAACATATGTCCACATCCCAAAGCATTTGACAGCACATCGAGACTAATATCATGACAAATGGTATTTGTTTTATTACTGCTTGAGTTTGATCTTGTGCTGAATGGTGGGATCTTAGAGTAAGAACAAATACTATATTCGTAGTGAGGCCTTTATATACGTCAATATATGCCGACGGACTATATTATTTTATCATAAGATCATATAAAAGTATATTTGAACCAAAGCAATTTGAAACGTCATTGATATTTTTTTCTGTTTAAATTAGACGTATGTAAAATCAATGTTATCACATTTTCATGACACGATAAAACCATGATTTGCATCAACACGATACTGATGTCGATGGCAACGAGATCCTCTTTGATATATCAATCCAGATGGTTTTATAGACATTAATGAGGAAATATAAAACTGATTTTACTGTTTACGCTAGTCGTTCTTACAGACACTTGAGAGAAAAATAAGAAAGGAATCCAGTTAAAGTCTGGAATGATTAGGCAGGTCTAGATTGTCTCAGCATGAAATTAAGCACATTTGAAGTTTTGATATTTTATAGACATATAATTTTAAGTAAGAAAGCTTTATTTCTGGGACTACCTGTTAGTCACTGCTGACTCGTGTGACGATCTAACAATCCTGCGAAAATGGCATAATGATATGCAAGCATTGATTTGTTATTATATCTCATTTTTTAAGAACACATACATGTCTATTCACAATGTTTTTTTCAATAGCAATAAACACACTATCCGCAATTATGTCTGAATCTGTAATATTTAACATTGACATTGTGTGATTGCTGTGAGAATACCTCTCACGTGCCATGTTTGACTCTGGAACACAACACTGCAATTCAAATCTGCTTAACTACATACATTAACATACCGTATACATATTAATAATTTGCCACACGAACCTACGCCTTTTCCAGAAGAAAATGACAAAAGAACCCGTGTTATGGCTCAGCCTTTTTTTCACCTTTGTACCGTGGTATGAATACGAGTACCACTTAGCGTCTTGACTTGACACACTGATTATTAATTATTATTCTCCACACAATTGAACATGGACAGCGTTTCTCGTCAATGATAGCAATGTACTCCTGTAAAAACCAACTCTGATAATGAGGATCACTTAATACAAATTAACTGTATCGTCCCCAGTTGACGTCGTAGACGTCGATGATTTTATCCGGTGATTGAGAACTCTTCACAATATCCCAGCTTACTATTAACACGAGTGAGAGGAATCAGCTCGCTTAGCAGAGGTACGACTATACACGACCAACCTTCACAACAAACAAGACCCGAGTGACTAAACAGTCAGTTTATTAGACAGCCACAGAATCATTTGTGACTGGCTGTCGTCCGTATTTATACCTATTCTAGCAACTACAGATAATCTCACTGACTGATTAAAACTGTTATCAAAGTTGTTATTGCAAACTTTAGTGGCGCTACCTAGACATAATTATATAACTTAGTTTGCCCGAGGCATTGATGATTAAAGTGTTCATGAGTGAAGTTTAGTAACAATAATAGTTTACCAGCTGCTAGTATGAAACTTTAAAATTTAGACGTGGTACGGATGATTTGATAAGGGTGGATGATAAAGATATTAACGTCTTATATTTGTTTGCCTGACTCTATCAGACCAGCATCATGAGAGTTGCGGGTCCTGTCCGATAGGCGATATCGGGTTGACCTTTGGCAGTCTAAAGACAATGGAACGAGGTCGTTTGTTGTAATATTCCCTTATTTCAGAATTTCCAATTCTTAATATGTGGCATTTAATGTGAGTAAATATTTGTCAAACTTTTTTTCCTTTTCCCCATGTTAATATTAAAACTGCGTCGGACACAACAAATGTACTTCATACATTGTACACACTGGTTCTTCAGCATGACAATCCGCGCTTTCACCTTTAGGCTGCTCCACTGCCTCCGTTGTGCGGCCACCCTGCATATAAATATATAGTAATGTTGTAGATGGTCCAAAGGACTTCGAATTAACGCTGTTAATTTAATACATTTACATGTCTGTCTAAAACATTAACTTTCCTCAATGTAACAACATGAAGTTATAACCTGTATGTTCATTTACACAATATAATACATGACCCGCCACAATATAACAGGTAGTCTTTCTCCAAGACCCAAGAGGGTATAGTAAAAAAGGAATACACCTCAAGTCTGGATTGATTTAGCGAAATTAGATTGCCTCAGCTCCAGCTTGAAATTAAGCATTGTTCCCGGCTATGTTTGGTTTTTATTTCATATTTTTTTTACATTCATTTTAAAATAAGATTATTTTATTTCGGGGACAAAATGTAAATCTACATAACAGGTTACCTGAAACTTTATCTTATATATATAACGTTTCTTCACTTTTTTGCGTTTTCTTAAAATGTGTGTTTATTTTGAAAGGTGTAACACACGTTCTTATTACGGGTTTACTTCCCCTATAAAAAACAATATATATCTCAGATGTGCTGGATTATAGGAACAAACTGACACCCAAACCTTGGTGTTGTACATGGTGGCACCCTCTACTGTGACAGATGGTCGCGGAAATTGATTTCGATTGTTTGTGTCTGCTGGAGGGAGATCGCAGATAAGACCCTCCGTGGGTTATAGCGTCTTGTCGGTCATCCATTTCTCCGTCGTTGATGGCCCATCTGAGTGATCATTTCTATGTACTTGACTGGACCACGAAGAAAGAT